ATAAAAACGATTTATTTATATAAAATATAAACAAACAATATTCCATATATGCACATTTATTTAATAAAAATTAATTGAACTTCAAAATGTACATCTCGTTTGTTTGATCTTATGCATATTTTCACATATTATTATAATTTTAAAGCATTTAAAAGTAGGTTTAAAATAAATTTTTTAACATATATGTGTCATGAAATTTAAAATTAAAACAAATACTTGCAAAAAATAAAAAAAAACTACCGATTGGAACACATCAAATTCCAATTCAACAAGCGATGCTTTCGTCTAATTAGCATTTCAGTCTGCATAATAAAAGCTCGTAGCTACTAAACTCAAGTATACAGCGTGTCGACAAGCTGACTGCTACGATGATAGTATATATTGACAGCCAGCAGACAGTAGTGTTGCCAGCGCAACAGCCCAATTTATATAATAGCAGAAAATATAACAGCTGCTTATTCATGAAAAATGCAACAATTAACTTTGAAAATTACCAATAAAATCAGTAAAAATCAATTTTGCTGTAAAAGAAATACTCATGTGCTGTAATTGTACGCTGTAAATTGCTTCGTCGCCCAGCCAAGTGCCTGGCAACCCTACGCCACTGACATAGCGGCTCACACGCATACAATACATGCGAACGCAAACCTCACACATTTGTACCAACACACACAAAGCGCGTATAGAAAATTTTTTTCAACGTGCATAAGTTTTTACGGAGCTGGAAGCTGCTGGAGCTACAAATAAACAGTAGAAATCTTTGAAGCAGTTGTCAAACAATTTAGTAAATTAATAAGTCAGCAATTGTGAGTTGAGAATAATATTGTGCATACGTCGAAAAGTGAGCAACTTTTTGTTTTGTGTTTGTGCCTAATTCATAAATTTTTGTTCGTGGCTGCTTAGCAGTTGCATTCTATCTTTTTTTTTTTTTTTTGTAAATATATTTTATTGGTTCCCTTCGCGCACTACAAAAAGAAGAAGAATAATAACAAGAATAACTGCACTCGGGAAAGAAAGTGCAAAACGCATTGAATTAAAAATATTACACTAGCTTCAGCWTACGGCTGTGTGTGTGCGTGTGCATGTGCATGTGCATGTGTGAGTAGGTAAGTTATTGTTCTCTTCATAACAGTGTTGCCGAATCAGCTATTTTGTAGCTAGATCTGGCTACTTCTTGAGTCCGATTGCTACACAAATTTTCAAGCAGCTATTAGCTACAAATCTGGCTATTTTCAAATATATATATATAATAGGTAAGCTTTCTGAAATGTTATGCAAAATTCATTTCTTATCAGTTTTTATACCCTGAACCCATTGAAAATGGGAAATCAGGGTATAATGGTTTTGTGAAAAAATATGTAACGGGCAGAAGGAATCATCGTAGCTGAAATTTGGCATGCATCATATTTTTTCGATAACTCATCCGATAACTTTTTTATCTAGAATTATCGAAAATTTGATTTTATTATTTATGCTATGAGTATAGCGTTCCACCCAACTACCTTAAAAAGGCAAATTATAAAAGCGACAATGGTGAAAATGACGAGTTGGTGGTCATAGATGAGATATTATAATAATTAAATTAATAAAGTTGACTTTTTATAAAAAAAAACGGCACTGTTTTCTTTTTTGCTACTTTTTCAGCTATTTTAGAAGAAAGTTGGCTACTTTTAGCTACTTTCAGCCTTCGRTTTTGCTACTTTTGCTGAAAAAGTTTCGGCAACACTGCTTCATAAATCTACAATTGCTGAAAAAATGTAAAGAACAAAGTATTGCGTATGTCTTGCGCGGCTTTCTTTGTCTCACACTTAGCTATGTGTATGTGTGTGTGTGTGTGTGTGTGCATGATAATTCGCCCTGTGCTGGACACTCTTTAATTTAATAATTGTTGCTTGGCTTTTGTTGGCTTCATTTTGTTATTGATTTTTTGATTCCTGCAGTGTGCGTGACAAATGCTGCCGCTAGCCATTCGCTCTCTCTCTCTCTTTCTCTCTGTTCCCTTTGGCCATCTAGTGCTCTGTTCCCTCTCTCCTTCGCACATTTGTCATGTTAGTCTCTGAATGTGTGCGTGTGTGTGGGTGTGTGTAGCGGCATTTGCTGCTGGTCTTTCTGTGTGCGTGTGTGTCGCCAAGAAATCAATAAATTTTAAAATAAATATAAATATATACATTGGAAAACAAAGCATTCGCATGCCAGCACCAAATTATAATTTGTATGTACGTTTGCATGTATGTATGTGTTTGTATATGTATTATTTTTGTTGTTAGGTTTCGTGCCTGCGCCACTGATAATTTGCTTGTGCTTTGTTGTTGTTGTTGTTTTCGCTGGCGGCTTTCTGGAATTTTCTCAAATATTTTGGGCATTTGCTGTGCTGCATTTTAGCACCTGCCATGCGTTGCACAAAGTGCTGCGTGCTGCGTGCTGCGCGCTCCGTTGTGCTTCGTGCACAGCTTTTGTTATTGTTATTGTTTTCTTATTTGCAATTGCTTTATTACGGTGCAGTTTATCGAACCATACACACACACACACACACACACGTATAGAGTACATGCTGTCAGTCAAATGAGGTTATGTAGCAATTAGAGTTTGACACGCTTCGTGGGCGGTTTCTTTGAATAAAGCAGAAAATTGAAATTATTATAAAAATAAATGTTTTTTTTTTTTTGATTATTTTTTTTTATTTTTACAAGTCACATTTTCTAATGAATATAAAGAAAATGCTTGAATTTAATATAATTCACATGTAGCATAACTGTATGCGATTTTATTTTTCTTCCATGCTTCTTTATGAATTGTATGGGAGATATTATATACATAGCATATACAGTTAAGCCAAAGATCTTGCATTTACAAACTTCCACATTTTTGTATATAATTAAATATCATATGTACATATGTATATGTTTATATATATAGAGATATAACTGAAAAATGTTTATAAAATTAAAACCTTTAAAACCATTCATTTGCATGAGAAACTCCCAAACTTGAGCTTCACTATGTTTCCATCACTCCATCAAGTCGATAACTCTCGATTTACTGTATATAGATTTCAGAGTATATATCTTAATTGTCGTCAAAATAGCTTTCATTAATTTACTATGCAAATATGTATGAGCTTGAATGTTAATTAATTAAAGAATTTGAAATATATAGGCCAATAAGGAATTAGAGGATATAGCACTATATTTAACGAGCGATAGCTCACTATAAAATTATTGACAGTTAACCATGTAAGCATTTTGACAGTTAACAATAGATGAGTGATAGATGTGCAATAGATGAGTGAGTATCCAGTAAATTCGAGACGAAAATCGAAGGACACAGTAGAGCAGAGCTGCGTGAATAATTAAAGGGACAAAGGGCAAAAAAACGTTCACTATGTATATCATTTTTTTAATTACTTATTAACGTGCAAAACTTTCGATAATTTATCATTAGCATTTCGATAATTTTATATTTGATATTCGCGCAGTCGAACGAAGTTGGCGACAGTTGAATCTGTTGCTCTGGCATATGCAAATTTACGCTAAGTTGTTTAATTGTTGTTTAAGACTTGTGAACTGAGCAGACACACATAGACTACACACACACGCACACACACAGAGTGAGAGAGAGAGAGAGAGAGAGAGAGAGAGAGAGCGAGTTGCTGCTTGTATCTTTGGTATCTGTGGCATCTCATTTGTATCTTGTATCTGCTGCAATAAAATGCAGCAGCGCAAACTTTTTGCCGTTTGCTGAAAGCGAAAGTCAATGAAGGTGGCAGCGAGTGCATAAACGTGCACCTGCCAAGCACACACACAGACATACACAGAGAGAGAAAGAGAGAGAGAGGGAGAGTGTAAAGACGCGTCCTTGAGGCACTCCATGACAACAACAACAACAACAACAACAACTAGAACTTTGTAAAACTCTCAATTTTCACGCTACTTTGCTCCCATTGCAGAAAACAACAACTACAACAACAACAACAACAACACCAGTAGCAGAAGCAGAGCAAGAGACTTACAAGAGGAAATAACAACAGCAGAGCTAACATCATGTCCAGTCTGCCACGCCGCATCATCAAGGAGACGCAACGCCTGATGCTGGAGCCGGTGCCCGGCATCAATGCCATACCCGATGAGAATAATGCGCGCTATTTCCATGTGATTGTCACCGGGCCGAACGATTCACCGTTCGAGGGCGGCATCTTTAAGCTGGAGCTGTTTCTGCCCGAAGACTATCCGATGTCGGCGCCCAAGGTGCGCTTCATCACCAAGATCTATCATCCGAACATTGATCGCTTGGGCCGCATCTGTCTGGATGTGCTGAAGGACAAGTGGAGTCCGGCCTTGCAGATACGCACGATTTTGTTGTCCATTCAGGCACTGCTCAGTGCCCCCAATCCGGACGATCCGTTGGCCAACGATGTCGCCGAATTGTGGAAGGTCAACGAGGCGGAGGCCATACGCAATGCACGCGAATGGACCCAGAAGTATGCGGTCGAAGACTGAAGCGCAATCGACTGCGTGATGGGGGTGCGGGCCAACGGAGGGGAACGGAACGGGATGGGGGAATGCGAACAATGAACACGACGACGACGACGACGACGACGACGAAGGAGAAGAAGAAGAAGAACAAGTTGAAGGCGTGCGTGCTGAATGAAGTTGAGCAAGGAGAAGATGATGGAGCTGGAGCAGGGCCGGGCAGGGGAAAAGGGCGGGCTTGTAAGTTTATAAATGTGTGAGTGCGTGTGCTTGGGGGCGTGTGAAAGTGGGGGTATGTGTTTAAGGGGGACTGCAGCAACAAAACTGAAACGAAATTCACAAGTTGGAAATTTCTATAAAATAACTATATAAACGAATATATATTTATATGTGTATATTGATAAATATATACACGATAATGTTGCTGCAGCTGGTAATGATAATGAACTAAAATATAAACAAAGCTGATGTTAGAAGAGACGCATCTAGAAGAACTCTGTTAGATGTTGTATACAATAATTGAGAAGCTAGGCGAACGGAGTTCTACGAGCTACCCCCACATGAAAACAAATATAAATACAAAAAAAAAAAAAAAAAAAAAAAAAAAAAAAAAAAAAAAAAAAAAAAAAAAAAAAGGAAACACATTTACCATCTGCAATAGGTTCGAGGAATACAAAATTAATAAAAATGTAACATGAAGTGAATCAATACTACATATATAGAACTATTCTAGACATTTGATATATTGAACGTTGTTCGGGCATATAGACACAGCAAATAACAATAATACCCTATATACTACTATATAGCGTAGAYATTGCTTTCGGGAACCGAAACACAATCCTTCGAATCAATCAAATGAAATCAAATCAAATCAATCAGCAAATCGATTACTCGAAACGTAACTCAATCGAGAGATTCGAACTGAGATTTATTCCGTTTCCGTTTCCGTTTACTCTTTATTTTCATTTTCAGATTCTTCTTTTTGTGTGTGTTTTGTTTTGTTTTTGTTTATCAACTAAAACTCGGTTGTGTTCTGGGTCCTCAGCTTTTGATCAATGTGTACGACATCAATAAGAAACGAGCCTTTTATGGAATTAGTACTTTACACAACAAATAATAATAAATAAATAAAAATCAAAATTAAAAAATTAAACTTTGCATTTTTATTGAAAATCTGGGATGGAACGAAATGAAATGGGGATTTATTTTAGGTATGAAAACAGAGAAATGCAACATTTTGCTTGAAATGGAATGGAACGACATGAAGAAATGGAACAGAATGGTATGTGGTAAGCTATTTGAAATAAAATGGTATGGTATGAAATGGTATATTATTATTTTTTTTTTTTTTTAATGGAATCGTACAGAAAAATAAACCATGATATGGAATATAATTTTTGGTATGATATGGAATGATTGCATGGAATATTATGGTACTTTCAGTGAAATTGAACACTAAATAAAATATATTTAGAGCTTATGAAACGGAATTGGATATGAAATGCAGTGAAGTGGTATTTGAAATAAAATTGTATAGGACTTTTTGGGGAAAGGAATGGTATGGTATTTGAAACAAAATGAAAAGGCATTTGAAACAAAGTGGTATGGAACATTATGATATATATAGGAATATGAATTATTGGATTTTTGGGATAGGAACAATTCATAATTGATATTAATCAAAATGGTATGGTATTTTCTTTTATTCTAAGTTATATGAATGAATGAAATAGGGTGGTATTTGGAACAAAACGGATTGGTATTGGCATTTTCATATATCTAGAGTAATAGAATGAAATGAAAAGGGGCTTAGGATGAAAATGGACTGTGAATGGAATGCAATGATGTCGAATTGCTGGTGAGCTGAAGTGACGTATGGAATGAAATGGAATGGAACGGAATATTGAAAGTGGAATGATGTAAGATTGTTTAGAGAATCATATGATACAAGAGAGAGAGAGAGTTGTGATAAGCTCTAGTTCATATATCTAAAACTATAAAACTAGAATGTACTGAAATGCTAAGAATAGATCTATAAAGCGTTAACATATTAGGCAAGTAGAAGGAACTAGATGATGGGATAAGTAATATGAGCCATAATGAGTACGATTATGGACTCATAGGAGAGTAGTGTGGATTTGAAGACTAAATAGATCAGAATATGAGCTCTATCAGTATCTGAGTGCTTAATGAGTATATATATCTATATCTATATCTATCTATCTATATTTTCATCCAAGCTATGATTAAGCTGAATAGCCTAGAATACTAGATCTGAACTGGAGCAAGTCTGTCTCAATAGTTGAGTGCTTATCGAGTATATATATCTATATCTGGCTATGTAGATATGTAGATATATGTAGATATATCCATGCCATGAATGAGCTGAATAGCCTGGAATACTAGATCTGAACTTGAACAAGACTTAGCTGTAACCATAATTATTTGAATGTTTATCAAATATGTCTATATCTATGTATAGCTATATGTGGACATATCCTTAACATGACCGGCCTGAGCTCGCCTTGTGCTGTGTCCTGCTGCAGTTGTCAATCATCCAGCTGCATGCGGCGTGGGCGAACTCTCACATGGGGTGGATGAGGCCGAGGCTGAGGCAGCGGATGCGAATCCGAATGCGGGCGTCTGTCTGGTGGGAGTGCGAAGCCCTTAACCCCTTTTTTAGAGGGTGGCCAAATTGTTGGCCACACCCCGTGCCGTTAGCATATGCCTGCTGATTGGATGCGCGTTGCTCTGTCTCTTGTTCTTGTTGTTTCGCTTGTTGTTGTTGTTGTTGTTGTTGTTGTTGATTCGCCTCTCGAGGCTGTTGCAGAGCAGGCTCTGGTCATGGTTTTGGCTTTGCCTTTACCTCTGACCAGACCGAGGCAGTCAAATGTCGAACCTAAAAGATTTTTTTTTCCTACCAACTCTCTCTCTCTCTCCTACTCTCTCCTGCTCTCTCTCTCTGTCGCTCTGTCTGCCTCTGTTGCGCTGTCTGTGTGTGATGTATTCTTTTTTTCTGTGTTCTGTTTCCAGTTCCATATAACTTTTTATCGCATTACACACACACACACACACACTGACACAGCTGGGGCATGGTCAACGCATATGCAGAGCGTCTAGCGGCAGACAGTGGGCGGCAGAGAGGGGGCAGCGTGGGAGCGGCTGAGGGAGGCGGCGGCGTTGGCTGAGCGCTTGAGGTGAGGATTTTTATCGGCAGGCAGCTTCATTGTGTGTATTTGCTATGTTTGCATAGACAAAGGCGCGCCCGGGCACCGGCAGAGGGGGGGGGGGCGTGGTCAGGTGGCCTAGGCGCCAGACGCGACTCGACTCGCTTCGGGTTTGGCCCCAACTCAGCTCAGCTCAACTCAGCTGGCCAGCTATTAATCGCTTTCAAGTTGAAAGGCGAGCTGCATGTGTGTGGCACCTGCTGCTGCGGGCTAAACTTCGACCCACCCAAAATGCCGCCTACGTGTGTGTCTCTGTGTCGGTCTGTCTGTCTGCCTGTGTGTGTGTGTGTGTGTGTGGCTAGTGCTGCAGCTGTTGGCCAGTCGCTAGATAAGGCATTGTCCCAGCTCCATAAGCCGGAAACATTAGGCCTCACTTCGATCGGCGGGCAACGCTTCCACAGGCACAGCTACTACCTCTGATACCGCCTCAGCTACTACCGCAGCTACTACCGCAGCTACTGCCTTGGCCTTGGTCTCGGTCTCGGCCACGCTGATTTATGTGACAATTTTTGCGTTGCGCTCATAATTCGTGGCGCGCTTTATCTTGCCGATCTTCCAGCCGGAGCGTTATCGAGGCTGTGGCCGCTTATCTATGCATCTACCCAACGCGAACGGGTTCTGGTTGGCCCAAGCGCAATGTTAATTGGCCGCAGCGATTTGGCTTTCGGCCAGTGTTGGTAAATGTTGGCTAAACTACAGGGCTAGAGTGGCTAAGAAGTAGTTGAGGTAGTTCGTTCGAATTTGATTGCAAATTTGGGCTTATGCATCACGTATTAGTGTTGGAAAATGTAATAAATAGGGAATTTTGTGTGTTGTCAGATGGCTAAACTGGCTAAGATACTGTTTAGGTGGTTAATTAAAAATTGATATAGTATTTGATTTATGAATCATGTGTTAGTGTTGGGAAATTCTATAAATAAGATATTTAGAGTGTGGGCAAATGACTACAATCGAAGGCTAGAATGGCTAGTTAAGAACAGATTTAGATTATGGCTCATTGACGTTGCTGTTTTGTGTTATTAGTGTTGGTAAATGGCTAAAAATGAGGCATAGAACAGCTAAGAGATAGTTTAAAAAGTTGCATAGGTATGCTCGTATAAAATGATTGAAGATGCTGTTAAGGTTCATGGTTCATGTAGTATTTAGTGTTGGAAAATTAGGCAAAGAACACATTTTGAATGTGGGCAAATGACAAGCTGGACACCCATAAGAGCTCTAAATTCAAGTTATATGCTGAAAAATATTCGAGGCGATGCATGTTCAGTGTTGGTAAAGGACTCAATCTACAGTCTAGCTAAAAGCTCAAGAGCTCCAACTATTTAATGCGTAGAGCTGCATTCAATGCTTTCAACAAACTTTGAGTGTGGCATTAAACATCAATGCTGAAAATATAAGTATTGGTAAACGTTTAAAGGTCCAGTGTAAGCGGACTAAAAAATGAATGACTTCAATTAGTTAATTGCTTGGCTTGTTTTTTCTCTTGCAGTATTGAAAAGCGCGCAACGTAAATATTTATAGCTGCCCGCTGACACATTCAGTGTTGGTTAATAGCGAAAGGTGCTGTCTTCAACAGTGGATGATGAGCGTAGCCAAAGAATTAAGCGAACAATTTGAGGAAATTTGCAAAAGTCTATGGCTAAGTGAGAATATATATGT